TATATTTTCTTAAAGCTTCTACTTTTATAGTTTTCTAAAAAATTTTATCTATTTATTTTGATTTTGAATTTTTAAATAATATAATTATTATTAAAGATAATTAATTGATATAAAAAATATTGATTTATGACACCTATGGATCAATAGCACAGTGGGTGTGCTCCCAGATTACTATTTACAAGTTACTGGTTCAATTCCACTTCAGAACAGTATTTGCATTTATAGGTTACATTGTACAAGAATGCATGCTAATCAGCTACATGCATATTTGAATATAAAACAACCTATAGAAATCTATTGTCCGATCACAGTGTCATAAAACAGGTCACATAGGTCTTGATCGGTTTTAGTACTAGGAAAACAAGCCATGACATCCCACTACCTGGAATATGTGCAGACATTAAGAATATCAAGAAAGATGATAATAAGACTCAAAATCCTATCGGCCTCATATGAAATCTACCTCTTCTCAAAAACTCTAGTTTCATAGGAGATCTGGAAGACTTCGGTCATATGTACCAGTTACAAAATGTAAGGACTGAACACATATTGGGAGATCTTTGATCGTTATCACCAACGGTTACCAGAGACTGGATCTCGCAGGGCACCAATAAAGAGTAATAAAGTTAAATAGTCATGATAGAAAAATGCAGAAGTAGATCCTAGGAGAAGAAATTTGGAAACAATCATCAAAGTAATCAATTCAATGGAAGGAGCAATCTGCTACAAAGTAATCAAGAGAAATTTCTGAAAGATCGTATTTGAAAAATAGTTAAAAATGGTTACTGGAAGACTACAGTCATTAATCTGATTCACCAATGGCCACCAAGAGACTTGGTGGGACCACATAAAAACTGAAGAATATCAATGAACAACTAACTTTTTGAGAACTAAATATGATAAAAAAGAATGTCAACTTAAGAATAGAACACAATCCCATAAGATATACAGACCCCACGAAGCAAACAATCCCAAATAGCTCCCTGAATAAGAAGAAGTCCTCTTATAAATCCTTAAAACATCAGGAGTGCCCGGGCACAGCAGGGTAGCTGACAGGATAGTATCCATATTAGGTAAAATCTAAGAGTGGATTGAATGGATTAGGATATTATAGATTAGATATATGAATTGCTCTTGTAAAAATAACTCTATACAAACTCCTAAAATAATCGATTAATAAAAGCCTAGTCAATATGACTAGTTAAAAAAAAAAAAAAAAAAAAATTAATTTATGAGATCTAAATAAACTTTTATTAATTATAATTATATTATATATTCTGATAACATTTTTAATAATTAAAAAATAATTTGAAAAAAAGTATTTTCTCAATATAACAAGTTTCTAAAATAAATATTTATGATATCAAAAATTAAGAAATAAATAAAGTAAATTGTTGATTTTTATTTTTATTAAGTTTTTTAAGTGATAATAAACTTTATTAAATAAAAGTTGAGATTTTTTTATTTTTTATTTCAATCCAATATATATGTAAATAAAGAACCAATTGAATTAATAATCTAAATATTACAAAAAAAAAAAAAAAACTCTTTTAAGGTTTAAATTAAGTAAAAAAAATATCAATTAGCAAATCTCTTCCAAAAGATATTTATTTATTTATTTTTAAAAAGACTTAAATTGCCTCTTTTTCTATTTTATTATCTTTTTTTTTTTTAACTTTGACAATTCATACTTTTTCAAATCAATTAACAATAACAAATTATTGATAATAATTTAATAAATCAAAATAAATCTAATCTAACTAGAAAAGTATAATATTGTCTCCAAAATTGAACTTAAAGTATTTATGGAAAAAGGTTATAATTAATTGTAGATCTTTAATTAATTTCTAAATAAAATATATATCAACATCAAAAAAAAAATAAAAAAATAACAAACTAATAATTGGTTTGTTTAATTTGAACTAGTTTAGTAGATTCCATATTTTTAAAGTAAAGTAGTGTAATCCTTCTACTAATAATATACAATAATGAGTTCATGTATATAATATCATAGATGTTTATTTAATGTCTCAATAAAGACATGCTAAGATGACATGATTGCGGGTTAGTAAAAAAAAATTAATAAATAAAAAATTTAAAGTTATTTCTATTAGTCGTTGACTTCGATACCTTTCTTCGTTTACTAAAAAGATTCATTGTAGAGGTCATGCTTTGCAAGAATATATTTCATGTGACGTTTCACTAACTATATATAGATACCGGTCAATCATCACCTAGAAAAGTACCCTCCAGATATGCAAAAGACCCTAGTACTTTAGTAAGTGCTATACATAGCATCTGCTCTTCCCGATGGTGTGACATGAAGAGAGACATTACCATAATGATTATTGAGTTGATCATTAAGGTTATCGATTACCATTAACCGATTCTGGTGATATTTTAGTATTTTTGAAGTATCTTCTCTATCAGAAACACCTTAACATACGTTTGACAAATAATTCATTCATTTCTGCGAATTTCATTATCTTGAATTCGTGGCTGATACTAAGATAACTCTTTTTTTGGCCACCGAATTTTTTTGAATATTTTCTAATGTTATAATGCCCGTTCTCGATTTGAAATTATATACCACCATCTCTGTATGTGTCGCCCTTGTGGCTTTCTTATATTCGTGCACTTTTCCCTTCACAGCCTTACACTTGCAAAAATGGCCTTGGGCAACTACCTTAACAACAGTTGGAATCGATGACCCCATTAAGCATCAAGATGTACCCCCTTCAACTTTTATTGAGGGCTCATGCGGCAAGAGTCCGGGAGTAACTCCTCCAACATTTCAACACATTTTATCTGAAAGATATTTAACACCACGAAAACCTGTAGGATCTATTCTTTCTTCACTTTTCACTTTTTTGCAGAAAGAAAAGACGTGCGTAATGGTGAGTTTTTTTACAAGATATCTTAGCATACATTCTAATTGAGCAACATGCATTAATTTGAATTGTAATTATACATAGATTTTTATCAATATGGCTTATTGCTTTTTATTTCTCCTCGGAAGGTTGACCTTAAAATTTTTCTTTGGAGAATTGCGTGCTATTGAAAGTCAGGTAAGAAGACGCGCTCGCTAATCTTTTCACATCCAAATACTAATCAAGATCAATTCTTAGCACATGTATGATCGGCTCCTTAATTTTCTTTTATTTAAAGTGGTCTTCGTTGGGGCGATCTTGGAGCCAAAATGGGAGGAACTACTAATATGGACAACGTGGTTTACAATTCTCGGATTCTTGAGGATATTTAGCATGCTGTGTCGAGATAGGTTTGAATATGTTAGGAATATTTCCATTGCTATTTTTTTTTTTTAATTGAATCCAACGATATTGTCATCCTGATATGATTCTATTCAATATTGTAGCTTACCTTTTCACCAAATACCCCTGTCCAAGCTCACCTACGTATTCTATCACTTTTGGTACTCATATTAATATCAGACATATTTTGGTTCATAATGTGTATATCAATTTTCAGGTCTATGCTTTTACTTTTGACCTTCGAGGTTGGTCTTTACTTCCCGTCAGGCTCGTCACACAATCAAATTTCTTGAAAATAATTGAAATTTTTATATTCAACGAATAGTGTTTCACACTCTTTTTGGACACCGTTCAAACTCTAGTGAAATATGTTATTCATCTAAGAGATCTATCTAGACAAGGTGTATGGGAGTCACGAAGGATTCTTTTATATTACACTGAATTTGTCACAGACACTTTGATACTTATTGCTACGCTTGGCCATTACTTACATATCATGGTGAGGTTACAGATATTACGATAATTTTTTCGTCAATAATATTTCTAATTGATATTGCATTGTCCTCGGTTTATACAGCTTTTGCATGGCATATCATTCACATTGATCGACGCTGTGTTGTTTCTTAACATGCGAAGTGTCTTTAACAACCTCAGGAAGAAGATCGCTGCTTACCGTAATTACCGACAGGCCATTAGCAATATGCAAACTCAGTACGAATTCATATATTAATTGAATTCATGACTTTGAACATCAATAACAATTCTAATTTCGACGTACAGATATCCTAATGCAACTGACATGGAATTAAACGAATATAATGATGACTGTGCAATATGTCGGGACTCGATGACATCAGCAAAAAGATTGCCATGTGGGCATATGTTCCATTTGTATGTGGAAACAATATGGCACTCTTGTTTTTTTTTTTTTACGACCACAATTCAACTAAAAATAGTTTTCTTTTTTTTTTTAAAAAAAAAAAGGTCATGCCTTCATTCATGGTTAGAACATCATGGATCATGCCCAACTTGTAGACGTGGTTAAAATACTCGTTAGGAACAAGAAGGTAATTGTGGTAGTTGATGTTAACAAATTTTTATTCTTTTCCAATTGCCTAATTTAAGTATCTTATATAGATCTACATTTGTTCCTTGTTTTCACAAGGCAATTAATTATATTAGAACATTTACATGAGAAAGCATTTCTGCCTGCTTAAGATATAAGCATTCTTGTAATTCTTTAATTCATATCCGACTCTTTGGACGTGCAGTAATTCGAAATTTCTCATGTCAATTGTGAGCTTGAATCCTTCTTTATCTTGAGCAACAATCTGGATGGGCATTCTTTCGAATTCAAAGGTGAAACAGCTTTACTAGCAGAATCCGGAAATTGTCTGAACAATGAATGTATGTTTCAACAAATTACATCTCACCGATGATAAACGACAGCGCGAGGTTAATTTCGTTGTACACTAACCGACCATCGGAGAATGGTCTCTATTCAAAAAGTACGTTTATTTAATTTTAAATTATTAACTTTAATTCCCAAATTTTTCCACTTATGTATTATACTCCGTTTGGCATGAGATCAATGTAGATAAGCAAACTTATTACAATAGATAATTTACGTCTTATAGTAAATGTAGTTGAACCGTCCTTACTGTTTACATGGTTATTGTTCATGCCATTGAATAATTGAATAAACCGTGTGACCTTAGAATGAGTGTTTTACAACTCAACTCGAGTTTTCAAGAAATCACTGGAATCAAAAATCGAATCTTGCAATGCCTTAAAAATTTGGATGAATATTAGGAATCATTGTCGATCATTACAAATCAAGATAATTTAAAGAGACGAACTTGATTTGCCGTCATTCGTTCTTCGAAGCCGTATTCCAGGAATTTTGAGATGAATTGTATGATATCCGGAGAATTCGCTTCTGGCAATTGTTGTTTCGTTAATCCTAGGCATTCCTTTATTTTGAAATTCAACTTTCCATAGTCAGGGAAATTTTTCATTTCCTTCATTAATATGCCGATCAAGCGGCGTTGTTAGACACGTAAATTAGTCGGTTTTCGGGAAAGCAGATGACTTATTACGCTTACGGGCCAAGTTTCCTCGGTAGGGACACCTAACACCTGAAATATTTTGGCTAATTGCTCTATATCACTTTCACCATTAAATAAGGGTGAACCAGAAGGTCTTGTGAAAAATTCTGCGAATATGCATCCAATAGACCACAAATCAATTGCGTTGGTATAATCTCCAGCAGAAAATATAAGTTCTGGTGCACGGTAATGCCTTTACAAATAAAATCATATTTCAAAGTGAATCTTCGTGTGAAACGGGGGATCAAATGTATTATTGCTAACCTTGTTCCAACCTCAAACTTCATTTTTCCTCTAGGTTCAATGCCGTTATTTGTATCGGCCCATGCAACACCAAAATCTGCAATTTTCATTACACCCGATTCGTTAATCAATATGTTTCTCGGCGACAAATCTCTGTGTATAACGCCACATTTATGAATATGAGAAACGCCATTAAGTATCATCCAGATACATGATTTTTTTTTCGATAACGAGAGAACATAATTCCGTATTAAACCTCTCAAAGTTAATGGACAGAATGGGAATATAATCGATGTTTTATTGATTTCAATATTATAAACATTTTGCGACGTCGAATCTATGATTTTAGAGGATTCTTCCAAAGAAAATACTGATATGACCTATTTATTATTAAAATTCTTGTCAAAAAGAGGTTCGCACTGTTATTTTGTTTGCTTAGAAAGATTGCAAAAAGAAAATAGCCATACATTTTCATGTTCGACCGAACGTAATATTTTTATTTCATTCGCTATTCTTTCTCGCGCCGGCCTTTCATATCTAACTTCAAATGCTTTTTTTATTGCAACCAGAGCGCCAGTTGACTTTTGTTTCGCTTTATAAACAACGCCAAATGTACCTTCTCCACATATTTCTAATATTTCATAAACTTCTGAATTCATAACGAAAAACGGACTTCGAGTGCTGAATAATTTATCGGTTACATACCCTCTGTCAGGTCTGTCACGTGTTCTTTATTAAACCATGCAACTCGGCGGGATCTTATAGGAGTTTAGTTGTATTTAGAGAGATTTTGCTGTATTGCTCCATTATTACTTTCTCTATTTCTATAAGTTTTGATTCTAAGAGTTTTTTTAACATGTTTTATAATCTTTAATCTTATTATTTCTAAGGTTATTTTAAATTTTTTAAAATAGTTAAAAAAAATTATTTTTAATTATTAAAATTTACTTTTTTACTTTTTTTTTTTAAACCTGTGGTCAGACCAGCATAGTGTGTTTATTAATCTAAGAAAATTAATAGAAATATATTGGACAATTATATCATAACTAAACTAAATCTTATACTAACTCACTTGTTAACAACTTTCAATTCTCAATTAAACTTAAGCCTCTAAGTGCAATCTTGGAAACAATATTTTATTTTGGAATAAGTTTTGAATGAATATTCTTCTAACTTATCTATAATAGTCAGCAGATTATTGCTACCTATTATTTTTCAAAAAACTGATTTTAAGAAATTATAATAGAAAAAGAAAAAATAAAAAAAAAAAGAATATCTAAAAATATATAAATAAGTATATATAAAAAAAAAAATAAAAAAGAAAAATAAAAGTGCACCATGTCTTCCAAAGAATCTCTATTAGAAACCTTTTTTATTAAAAGCCAACCTTTTTGATTATTCTTTTTCTTTTTGACTATTTAAGAAATTTATTTATCTATAATCTTAATTATTTTTCTGTAACTGTCTAAAGTACTTATTACCTACTTAGATTCAATGTCTTGCTTATTACTTTTTTTCTTTTGATATTGATTTTATATTCACTTATATTTTAACTATAACCTATAATGGACCTTAGGTTTTATATAACTTTTTAGTTATATTATATAATTATCTATATCTTTCAATAATCATATCTAGCTAATTAAAAGAATTTTACTGACAAATATAATTTATTGTTTAAAAAGTCAGATTCCCCAATAGTCTTTTTGCCTTGAAATAGTGAGATAATATCATAGAGTAGTAAAATCCTTATCAATTATAATATTATTATACAATATCTAAAGAAATATATTTTCAATTCTAAAAAAAGGTAATAGTTTATAGTCTTCTGCTTTTTAATCTTATTGTTTGATTAAAAATAAGGAAATAACCTTCTTTATATATTTTGCCTAATCAAGATAATAAGAAGTTGAAGATCTCAGCTTGAACAAATAATTATGTTTTTTAACTTGCAATCATGCCGCAATGGCTTGTCTTTCTTGAAAAATTGAAGTAACTCTATAATATTTTACAGACTTTCACAAAGTGATTAACTTGTCTTTATACAAAAATACTCTAAGTCAGATTTTGTGAACAATATTACACTCCCCCAATAGATTGGTAATAACCTCTATCTACCAGGATCATTGCCAACAATTTGTCACTGTTGATTGCCCGAAAACCAATGAATTGCTAAGTTAAAAAGGAGAAAGGGAAAAATGATTGGGGGAGTGTAATATTGT